AATAATAATAATAAACCATAGATCAACTGTTCCGTCCACCTGTCATATACACTGACGGACTAACGGCACATGAATGGCTGTGTCCCTGCCACACGATATACCCCAGTAGGAGTAATCTACAGAAGACCCCACACTATTGTAAGGAACTTTCTTGAAAAATTTTCGGAACTTATTTCTATCATAAGTTCAGAGAGGAAACTTTGCTACATTTCAGGAGACACCTCAGTATTAGACCTTCTCGCTACCTCTCATTCGAAGCTCTTCTACACAATAACCAAACCCACTAGAGTAACTGCCACCTCTGCCACTGTGATAGATCATATCAGGACTAACAACTCTACTAACAATCTACCAAGTGGAATTATTTATAACAATATCTCAGATCACTTCCCGGTTTTTGCCATGTATAAAACAGCCACAAGACCTGAAAGGTCTAGTAGAGTCTCAGTACAATACAGAGACTACTGCGCCGACAACCTGCTCATTTTTTAAAATAACTTCATGAATGCTAACTGGAGTCTTGTCGATGACTCCGACAACCCTAACGTGAACAGCTACAATTTCTCTTCCATTTTCAATGCTTGTTTGATAAATGCTTCCCCCCCACCCCCCCCCCCAAGACTTAGTAAAAACTGTTTCTATCTCCAAACCCTATCTCACAAGTGAAATCAAGATAATGATAAAAGAAAAACGGAACCCGCCCTTCTTACCAACCACTTCAATGATCATGTTATCATTGTTGGCAAAAATCTTGCAGAGAGCATCCCTGATCACCATGAGGAATTTAGAGCCTACCTGCAAAAAAGACAGCAAAATGAGCTGTTCGTATCCCCTGTCACAGCAGATGAATTACTGGTCATCATAAAAATGTCCAAATATACAGCAGCAGGCGAAGACAATATACCAATGAGCATCATTAAGAAAGTAGCCCACTTATTACTACCTGTTCTCCTACACATTTGTAACTCCTCCTTCACTAGTGGTGTCTTTCCTGATAAACTGAAAATTGCTAAAGTTCACCCAGCATATAAAAAGTCTGGGGACAAAGGTCTCTTCATGAACTACCGCCCCATATCTGTCCTCCCAGCCTTGAGCAAGATACTGGAAAAGCTAGCATGTAATAGACTAAATTCCTTCTGCAATGTCAATAATTTCCTTATAGACTCTAGGGTTTGGATTTAGAGTTAGAAGTTCAACTGAGAGTGCTCTGCTATCCTTTACTAATGACAGTCGGAATATTCCTGGACCTCTCTAAAGCCTTCGATACTGTCGACCATACCATCCTCCTTTCAAAATTTGAACATTACGGCGTTAGGGGCCTGTCCCACAATTGGTTTACCTCATATCTGTCTAACAGGAAGCAGTATGTACGCTTAATAATCGCCACTCTGACTCCTCACCAATTTTGTATGGTGTCCCCCAAGGCTCCATTCTCGGTACTGCACTGTTCTTGTTGTACTGTACATAAATGCCATAGTCCACTCCAGCACACTCTTAAAATACAACTTATTTGCAGATGATAGTAATCTCTATGCCAGCAACTTAGACCTCCATTCCTTGTTGAGAACTATGAACACTGAATTGACTAAAGTCAGGACCTGGGTAACACTCAATAAACTGACCTTAAAACGCGAAAAACCCACTACACGATCTTTCACAGAAGGAAAAACCGACCCCCAGATTTGGACTCCCCGTACCTTGGCATTACAGTTCTCAAACGTGAACAAAATACTAAATTCCTTGGGGTTATTGTTGATGAGAAACTTAGCTAGAGAAAACACATACAAGCCATTCACAGTAAAGTCAATAAACAGTGCGGTATCATGTATCACACTCGACAGTCACTCACTCTTACAACAATGACAGAAATGTATTATGAACTTGTTTACCAACACTTAATACACTGTCACACACTATGGGGGCCTCTGGCTCAACAAAAACACAACCTCTGATCACTGCACAAAAGAGAGTTGTGCGGACAATGACCTACTTGAAAAAACTGATCACACTAACGAACAATTTGCTAAAATGAAAATAGTAAAATTCGATAATATTAACACCTACTGCTGTGCCCTATTTGTATACAAATCTGTCAATCACTCGATTGACAACAATTATTTATAGTTCCGGAATAATCAGAGATACAACTTATGACACCCAAAGCCACCCCCCATGTGCTCCTCTCAGTCCCAGACCTCCATAAAATATCACGGTGTGAAGGTGTGGAACAACTTACCCCCACCCATCCCAGCAAAGACTACGCTCCCTTCCCTTAAATCATCTCTTAAGAAATATCTATTGTCTGAGTATTAATCTTTTTGAAATACCTACTTTATATTCTTACCTTTATTGTACCACCAAAACCATTATATCAGAAATTGTCATGTAGATAGATAAGAAATACCATTGCACTTATTATATTTGCCGACAAGACATGATACTGACAGCTTCTGTTCTCTTTTTCTACCTTAATACAACCCAGATATTAACTCCACTGTAAAATATGTGTATATTCTAATATAAATGACAAAATATAAATTAAATACAATAAATAATATTGAAGTGATCTGTATCTGTGTTTTTCTGGCTAAATAAACTGTTTCATTATCATTATCAAAAGGACCCTGAAAAACGTAACACCAGCGAATCGTTTTAATTTCTATATCAATAAGTATAAAAACGATATGCTCAGTTTTATAAATATTGTAAGTAATATATTCAAAACAACTTTAAAATCAACAACAAAACGCCCACTTTACAATACATTTCGTGGAAGTCTTTTTAATTTTACGACGAATCCATTTTTTCACCAATTTTCATCTGTTTACAGCAGCCAAAACATACACCAATCTTAAGGTTCCACTGGCGCGTCCAATCAGTGACGTCATTGGTCAGATCATACCTGTTGCCTGACCTCATAACACACCAACAGGGAACCAGTGTCTATCAAGCCCTCTGATCACGGGTGTTTAATTCTCTAGAGTTTTCTTTTAGTTTCGTTTTCTTTACAGATTTCTTAAGCGTATTGTCGAAACACATGGAGATCCCCCCCCCCACCCACCACCCACTAGTTTATTTCACCTAAAGATTAACCTAACCTAACCTAACCCCCTGAGAGACAGCGTTAGGGTGGTTATTCTTCAGGTGAAATAAACTGAGAGAGAGAAGGGGAGGGAGCGGGCGAACAATCTATAATTCACAAAACTCATCAAACTACAAACCTGACTTATACTACGTACGCGCACTACCTTTAAACGCTTCGTAGTTAACGCAAGCGAACAAACTTTCACACATACGCACCAGCTCTTATTTCAAACACACACACACGACCCTGGCAGTGAGACGCAGAATAACACTACATGACGTACATACTGCATCATCTTCCCTAATACCTGTACTGGTTTTCTTAACAACATCTTGCTAATACCGGTTTTCTTAGCAACACCTTGAGGTCTTCTGCTGCTCCACCACACCCCCCCCACCCCCTTTGGTGCCTCCTACGTCCTTGAAGCTGCGGTGATTATAACTTGTATCTATGTAATAATAATAACAGTTGTAATGCTGCGACAACATCACCATCGTCAACAATAACAGCAACAAGAACTACAACTACTAATATTAAAAATAACGATAATTATACCAATAATAATGACAACATTAATAATACCAATAATAATAATAATAATAATAATAATAATAATAATAATGATAATAATAATAATAATAATAATAACAATAATAATAATAATAATAATAATAATAATAATAATAATAATAATAATAATAACAATAATAATAATAATAATAATAATAATAATAATAATAATAATAATAATAATAATAATAATAATAATTAATAATAACAGTAGCAGCAATAACAGTAATACTACTACTACTACTAATAATAAAATAAATATATAAATAATAACAATAACGCCATTCAATTATTACCTACAACAGCGACCATGAATTACACACACTCACACACACACACACACACACACACACACACACACACACACCAGAGGTCAGCGTTGGTGGCATCTTTATCCTTTTCTCATATAAAAATTTAACTCAAATTTCATCAAAATATTAACATGGACACAAAAGTTTATCTCTGAGAAATAGTTTTAACCTCTGACATTGTGTGTTTTAACCTTCCTGTGATGTTAACTATTGACTTCCCTGTAATGTTAACTTTTGACTTCCCTGTGATATTAACTTTTGACTTCCCTGTGATGCTAACCTTTGCCTCCCCTTTGATGTTAACTTTTGACTTCCCTCTGATGTTAACTTTTGTCTTCTCTGTGATGTTAACTTTTGTCTTCTTTGTGATGTTAATTTTTTACCTCCCTGTGATGTTAACTTTTGACTTCCTTGTGACGTTAACTTTTGTCTTCTCTGTGATGTTAATTTTTTACTTCTCTGTGATGTTAACTTTTGTCTTCTTTGTGATGTTAATTTTTTACCTCCCTGTGATGTTAACTTTTGACTTCCTTGTGATGTTAACCTTTGTCTTCCCTGTGATGTTAACTTTTGACTTCCCTGTGATATTAACTTTTGTCTTCCCTGTGAGTCTGACACGGATGACACCACACAGGTAAATGGGTTTCCTATATGGTTAGGTTAGGTTAGGTTAGGTTAGGTTAATATTCAGGTGAAATAAGCTAGGGTGTCTAATCTTCAGGTGATCCTTGTATGCTGTAGAGTGTAGAGTGTGTAGTCTGTAGGCGGTGACCCTCTTGTTATTAAAGTACACACAGTCTCCCCATACCTCCTCCTCTCCCTCCTTCACCCCTCACGTCTATCCACACCCTCCTTCACACCTCACGTCTATCCACACCCTCCTTCACCCCTCACGTCTATCCACACCCTCCTTCACCCCTCACGTCAGCTCACACCTCTCCCTCATCATCCACCGGGTACTGTGGCTCTTCGTCTACATTTCCTCCTCGTCTATCCAGCCTTCCTCCTCCTGTCTCTACCCCCCGCCCGCTTACTCTATCTCTACCCGCCAGAGCCAAAGTTTTTATCATGTTGACCGCCACCTGCCCTACACGTGGCCAGGGTGGGCGACGGGCGAGCACTAGCTAGAGGAGGCCACTACGGGTTGTCCCAGAGTCCGTCCACTGTACATCTTCCCTCACGCAAGCTACCATCCTCCCTCTCCCCAAATTTTCTGGTGTGGGGCAGTATTGAGGTTTTGCTCCGTCATGTTATCCTGCCCAGCGGGCTGTGTGGCCAGAGCGGTAAGGCCCGGCCAGACGCCGAGGTGCGGGAGGGAGCGAGGGAGGGTGGGCGTGTGACGTCACGCGGTCACTCTGAGTGTGAGAGGTGCCCCCGCTGCCACACCCGTACGGGGGTCCCTCAAGGGGGAACCCCGGGTCCGCCTCACTCTTACTACGCACTCCCGGGATCGTACTCTGGCAGGCACGCACCCGAGACGCGCACACCCGCTTACTCACCGCAGAATGGCTACAGGGGACCTGGGGGCGAGATCTCTCATGCATTACCGCTTGAGAAATGTGAGAATATAAGTATGAGAGGTGATGAGAAAAGGGAGGGCAGAGGGTGACTGGAAAGCAGGCGAGGTGTCCGTCACCACTGACCGTTCCCAGGAAATATCTCCTCGTGTTTCACAGTCTAGACATTCCAGAGGCCAGACAGGCCCGTCTAGACAGGACATTGTTGAGGTGACCCGGGGGGCTACAGGGCTACGACCACATTTTTAAGGTGCGTTTGTCTGGGGAACAAAGCCGGGACTGACGCCGGGGTCCAGGTCCCAGGCTCTAGTGTCGCGCTGTAAAGAAAGTCATCCTGTTTTATGAGGGAGCACCGAGGCGAGGTGTTCACACTGGTGCGAGGACACAGCCTCTCTCTCCTGGTCACTAGTGCAGTTAAACCAGCGCCTCCCTGGTATTGACTAGCTAGTACCCCTCCAGTAATCCGTACCCACTCTCACTACCCGAGTAAGCACGACAAGCTGGTCTTTCAGCAGTACAGACACAATAGTACCCAGCCTCCATGCCCTCATGAGTACAAGATAGCTAGTGTCTTTTAACTGGTATGAGCTCTGTAGAGTAATTGGTACACACTAACTAGCAAAACCTAATAAAGATAATAAATACATAAATAACGAAGTGATAACCGTAGCAACATGTTCTTATTACCACCATACTATTGAACTGTTCCAGATGATACTAAATGTTACATAATACTTCCTTAAGATAAATGTATAGTATATATCAGGTGCCTACAGGAGAGCCCAGGTTCTCAACTGGCTCAGCCATGTTAATATTGTTATTATTATCAACTCTGTATCTGTGTTTTTCTGGCTAAATAAACTGTTTCAATTCAATTCAATTCAATTAAAAAAATAGGTCATTGTTATCACTGAATAACCTGGCTTTTGGAATATTAATTAAACTTTGTATGTACCGTGTTCCAGAATAACTATGGGAGAGGCTGATGCTGTCAGGTTCAGTAGGTCTGCCCTATATCTTTTACCATAAGGCGCTTAACTTCCTGGGAATATCTGCACCCGTACCTAAATATAGCGGCCAGACACAGAGGCGTATCCCCACGACTCCTCATCACCGCCGCCCACATAACACGAGGCCTAGTAGTGTATGGCGCGTTAGCCTACCAAGAATCCAGTTATGCAAGCCTACCTGCCTATCCCCCCTCTTGTTCTATAGCCCGAGGAGGTGGGAGGGAGGGTGTATGGGGGGTGAATCCAGCCTCATCATCGTGTCAGAGCTGAGGCCTGAGAGCTACGTCAGATCATGGTCAGCTGCGTCAGGTAGAGTGTTAGATGAGCTGGCCGAGGGTACACACGTGCTGATTCCTAAATAATTACTTCATCTGTTGGCAGTGCCCTACCGTTGTCTCTATAGCTGTTGGCAATTCACCACTAACACCACTGCTACTACCATCACCTCCACCTCGAGCATCACGCCAAGGGTCTGGGGTAACGAGCCACCCTTGCATGGGTACTGTCGCTCCCGGCCACAACACAGGTGTGGCGGGCCAGAGCACCTGGTTACAACACAAGGACCCGAAAGGATAAGGTTTCTTACGTCAAATGTCACCTCTGATTGGAGAAGTGTGTGACTCTCTCCAGCTACAACAAGGAGATGGTTTCTTAAAAGCTCAGAAAAAATCTTGTTCCTTTTCCTTGAAGATGTGCAGAAACAATGGAGAAAAAAGAATAATTTATAATAATCCGATTCCTTGCGTTTAAATTTTACCTTCGAGATTACGAGAAATTTTTTAGTTACGATTGAGTCATAGTAAAATTAGAACACCATTTCGGTTGCCAACTTTCTTCCGTCGTGTGAGTGAGACAAACAGCTGTGGTCTCTTATCTTTATTCACGGTTAAATTATAACACAGAAATGTCTCAACATGTTTCCTTAGTTGTCAGGTAAGGTAAGGTCCCACTTCTCTTGGGTTACTAACATGATGGCGTGAAATCTTCAGTTCTCCTGGGTTACCTACATCTCATCATGACCACGACGGCCGCTCTTCCTCACCTCTGTGTCAACATGGGCGCCAAAAAACCCCCCACAACAACAACCCAGGAGCGAAAATATCCATCAGTCAGATCAGGAGAAGAGGGAACTTACCTCATTAGGGACAACCAAAAATAAATACTATATTACGTTTATTGGAATCACCCTTATGAATCTCTGTCCCAGTTTATTTCACTTTAAGATTAACCACTAACGATAACCTAACCTAACCTAACCTCAATTTGGTGGTTCCTACAATGACAAAATAAACAGATTTGTATGATTGTTGATATTTAAGGAAGATGATATGTGTTAATACTGTAAAAGATACACATAGGGAGACCACACACACACACACACACACACACACACAAATCAACGTACACTCATCAAACTAACAACTAAACTGAGGTGTATGAGAATAAGACTTGAAGACGAGGAGGCGAACAACAACAACAACCACAACCACAACCACGACCACAACAACATAAACGTCAACATTTGTGAGCGAGTATGACAGTACCCAGAAGTTCTCACCCGACGCAGTAAACAAACACAAGTTGATCTCTCTCTCTCTCTCTCGGTGGTAAGCTTCCTGAAATTTTAACATTGAGAGACAAACTATTTAAAGCACGAAGCTGTTTTAGGTCACAGGTTTAAGTGTAAGATACATCATTAGATAGCTGTGACCCTACTTGACCTTACAGCTTAATTGTGTGTGTGTGTGTGTGTGTGTGTGTGTGTGTGTGTGTGTGTGTGTGTGTGTGTGTGTGTGTGTGTGTGTGTGTCAAAATTTTAGATTTTTTTTAGATTGCCCACAAGGGGGCTAGTTTATTGGGCACCCCCTTACATCCTGTGCAAGAAGAAGCGCAAAAGCGTTTACAGCGCCTATCTGGGAAGCATGCGGAGTTTATGCTTGCCTTTATGAGTCATGCATTAAGGGCGCAAAAGCCTGAAGGGTCATGGGTTTTGTCAGCAAGTTACATATAGTGACAGAATAATGAGTGTGGGGAATTTCCCGGTACAATTTATCTGTTTATGGCAAAGCGTGGCAGGTCCCTAATAATGTCAAGTGCCAGGCCATTGGCATTGACAATACTGAGGGACATACCTTTTAGTGTGATTGTGATGGCGTGTACGTCGGTAGTGTCGGCTTCAGGGGGGACGTCGGGAGGTTGGTAGGGGACGTCCTTCTTGGCGTAACGAGTCATCATATATAACTGACCACGCAGAAAGTAAAGTACATGACGACCAAGACAAAGAACCCATATTCAGGGACATACGGAGGAACATCTTCCGAATCACAAATGAAGAGAACAAGGGACTCGATGGTACCCGCGAGGAGCTCGTCCTTGATGAACTCCGGGGCCGACACACCGCACTCAACCTTCCCCCGAAATCATATGGGAGGATCTGAGAGTGGACAGCCCACTGCCCAAACCAATCACCTCGGAAGAACTCAACACAGCCATCTCCAATAACAAAAATAAAGCCCCTGGCTATTCAGGCATCACCAAGGAGATCCTCAGCCACATAAACAACCCGGCCATGGAGAGACTGAGAACCACAATGAACGCTTGCCTGACCTCGGGTTACTCCCCAACTAAATTCAAAGACGCCATTATTACCCTAACACCAAAACAAGAAATGAACCCCGCCGCCCCACTAAACTACAGACCTATCTCCCTCCTCGAAGTACCAGGAAAAATCCTAGAAAATATCACCAATAACCGTCTGAGAAATCACCTGGAAACCACCAGCAGAGTCAACTGCAGACAATTCGGGTTCAGGAAAGGGAAGTCCACCACAACAGCGATAGCCCTGGCATGTGAAAACATAGCCAGAGCCGCGGCGAGTGGTAGACAATGTAATCTAACTCTCCGGGATGTAGCGAAGGCATTTGACAAAGTCTGGCATGACGGTCTAAGATATAAGATCCTCCAACTCGGACTTCCCACCAACATTGAAAAGCTGCTTTGTAACTTTCTTGACGGCAGAAATGCCAGACTGAGGGTAGGACAACACACAGGAGAGACTTTCCCACTCATGAGCGGAGTCCCTCAGGGGAGCGTCCTCTCCCCCACCCTATATATTACCTACACAAGTGACACCCCGCCTCCCACTAGAATAGGTAACGAAGATATTATGTATGCAGATGACATCACTCAATTAACAACACATCAAGGAATATCGCGAGCGCTACAGGTCGACAACACCAGGCGGGAATTAGAAAGGGTAAATAATTACGAAAAACAATGGAAAATCCAAACCAGTCTCCCGAAATTCACAGTGATACCCTTATGCCGAAGGAAAACCCATCCATTAGTAACCAATAATGCCCAGATAGAATACAAAAGCAGAGGCACACTCCTGGGCCTGCATATATCCACGACAGGTTACTCCCATCATGTCCACACCAGGAAGGAAAAGGCAAGAAGAGAGCTGAGAAAACTATACCGCTTTAAAGCGCTTCCTGAGAAAATAAAACTCCGCCTGGTGACATCATTTATCACACTGATATT